TAAAAAATATCAGTTCATAGGAAAGAGAATAAACAAAGCACTTGAAAAGATTTGACTAATGTGCCTGCTTTTGCTGGCACGAAGCTGCAAAGTAATACTTAAACTCTGCATAATCGGCTCGCATACATATGTCCCTTATGAATGAACAATCAGAGCGTAACATGGCTTTTTATTTTTTTTTACTGAATTAAGAAAAAATAATAATCATATGCAACCGAGACGAGGCTCAAGGCGGCTTGTACTTGTTCCTCAATCTCTTTTGTTGCCTGTTCAGTTTCAGGGAACAGTGTGTTTTCTACATGTCAACATGGTTTTCATGTGCTGGTGAAACATTCGTGACTGACAGAGACGCCGCCCACGATGGAGACGTTGATTTATTTAAAAAAAGCTTTCTGCGGTGGAGAAGCAGACAGAAAGAGACGTTACCCGGAATGGGTGATAGCTGAGGCTTTATTAACTACCACGGCCTTGCAGCAGTAAACAACGTCTAGTTGTGAGGGCGGTTTGAGGCATCAAGCATGTCTGACTTCATAACAGCACAAACCTGCAGTGCCAAGCTGCGTAGTCCTCGACAGCATAAGAGGCCGGACCGACAACAAACCAACTTGTTATAAAAAAGTTATATAAAAGTTTTATACTGATGGAATGGATGCACTTTATTTTGATTGCTTAGACAAAAGTTCCATCAATAAAATGCACTCGTACGCAAAGTCAGGCCCATAATGAAACCATTTTACGAGTTTAGTGTGCGGGAAACTTAAGCCGGGTCTCAAGAGAGTCCCTGTTATTGCTTAAATGTTATGGCGCATGGTTTTTTGTTCGACTCTCGCATGCGGGAACCGTTCGCAGTGTCTACATGCGTTTTGGCTGTGAAGCCCTATACGTGAAAAAGGAGAGCAAATGCATCCTGATGAATTCGTACCAAAATAAATTACATATTTTAAAGCTTGGAACCTCATGCAGCCAAATGCTGCAGTTGGTATGTCATGTTTGCCAGAATTTGAGCACTATGTGAGCAGATAATCTCTTCACTGTTTCAAGTTGCTCCCTTCTACCGCTCCTTGTTGCTGTTTAGGATGATGAGCCTGTTAAACTGAAATATCAAACTCAAACACGAGTGTTGATGTTTCACAATTGTGAACTACCGGCCACAGAAGCGTCATAATGCCAGAGCGAAAACCACCAAAATAAGAGCAGCTGCAACAAGCACCATTAGCAACACAAATACTCTGCAGATAGAGATGGCAGATGTCAAAGAGCAAAAATAAGCAGAATGAAATACAAACAAAATGAAATAACAGCGGCCAAGCACACCAACGCAGAAAGACACAAGTTCACCACAAGCATGAAACACTTGATGAAGTGAATCAGCAATCTTCTAAAGGATTAATCACCCTTAAAAACAGCAGAAGAAGATTTTGATGCTCCACCGTCTTTTTTTGCAGGTTTCTGCAACATTGCAGTACAGCAGAAACATGGAAGAGCAAAACACAAGTTCGAACAGTCCGCACTGTTGTCAAGTTTGCATTGAAAGCATGTTGCAGCAAATACAGAAACGCTACAGTGAAACAATGGTAAATTCTTTGTGTGATGGTGATGTCTGCTGCATGGGTGTATACAGTAAATATTCAGGTGTAAATGTTACATTTCTGAATAAACACAAGAGGGAAAAGCTCATTTTCAGCAGAACACAATGACAGACAATAGTGCATCTTTTATATTTCACACAACAAATAACACATAAAGTACAGACAAAGTAAACATGACCAGTTGGCAAAGGGGGGTCTAGTTTATTGTAGACTGCTATGGAATAATACAGTAGGCTCTGCAGCCACAGGCCAGCAACACAATAGCTCAGAAGTAGGACAGGGGTACAGCTGTCATGGTTCTTGTTATGTCTTAAACTACCTGCAGTTACTAGAGGTAGTTAACATTTCTGCATATCTTTTTTAGGAGCGATGCCGCAGGACGGTGACCCAAACAGACCCAAACCAGCCGAAACCACATTTATCCCTTCCTGCTGCCGAACATAAGTGCACATGTTTTCAATGTATTCAACACGCATTGGCACTCAGGTTTCACTCAGGAAGCTGGAAATAATATAAAGGCTTTGACAAATTACTGCAAAACTAAGTGGCATCATCATAGGAACCAAAAGGTATGAAACACAATACAATATATACAATGTCTCCACTTTGGGTTGAGATGTATTTTTTGAGCTGGCTCGGATGAATTCTGTAGCTGGAAGGAAAATAGAATTTTAGATGAACTGTAATTGGCCGACACAGACACACACCCTCAATCAGACGGAGCGTGTGCCTCACTTGCGTCAGACCGAACTGAAGGAAAGAAGAACCCAAAAAGGAGCAAGATGAGAAGACGGCAGTGTGACAGGAGAAGCGTCGGCTGACGTCTTAGTTGGTTGACTCGAAAAAGCATGTGACGCAACCGTTCTTTGACGTGCTCATCACCAGTTTGTTTGTTCACAAGAAACGTGACGCATGAGTGAAGCCGTGACGTCGGGAGGGGGAGAAAGTGGCGCCTGGCCTCAGGTTCTTGTGTTTGAGGTGATCCGGGTTTGCTTTGACAGCAATTAATCATTCCTCTCAAAAGCTGACATTCATAATAATTAAAAATGTGTTCACATCGCCATCTTTGAAACAGCTTTAGCATTAGATATAAATCACCCAGATTCATTAATAAAACCCTCACGTCTTGTCTCAAACTAGGCCAGAGAAGTGCCTCTGATTGTCGCTCTTGAGAATAATCACACAAACCTTTTTTTTCCTTTTTCCATTAGTAGAAATTATATTTTGCAGCATTATTATATTGAAAATAAGTAAATGACAGTTATTACACATAAGAACACACACATCCTGGCAACAATACCAGTTTTTTTTAAGTATTTATTATTTATGGACCCATATACCTTTAGTTTGTGAGAATAAACTGAGAAATGCTTTCTAATCGGAGAAGTCAGTGCATCTGTTCCGGTGAAAGGGTGGATGATAATGCTTTGTGCTCCTTCCACTTAGCTACAGCTGCGTGATTAACAAACAGGTCAGTTGGGTGTCGGTTTTTTTCATAGCGTGTCACGCTCCACAAAACCTCCCCCCTCTCCAAAAGAACAAAAGAAGCAAACAAAAGCTGTGTTTACAGCCCTTATAAGTGAGCATCAGTGAATAAAACTTCCGTGCAGCAGGATAATAACATTCAAAAAGCCAAGATGAGAATGTGAATCGTACAATCAGACAGTGGAACATCCTTGAATAGATCATTTGATATAAATATAATAAGATGCACTGTTTGTTCACATTAGCATATCTGAAATTTGAATCTGAATCAATTGGTTAAACTCGTTCCCAAACAAATTATCTGTCTGTACACATGTGCACCGTAAAGCCTTAAAAATACAGGGTGACTTGCTGGAGTCTCACAAAAGAAAAGGGGGAGAGGAAGAAACACATATTACAATTTGTATTTTAGAGAGATTTTAACGGAGGATATTAAGGCTTGATGGTGTAGCCGCAAGAAAACGTTCAGGATTCAGGATCTGGTTTAGAGAAATACTTCATTCCATTCAATACATTGATTCATTGATTGTAGGTCAAGAAGAACGCAAATATGTCAAATTAAGCCTCAATCTACTTGTTGCTGATTCGATATTCTGATCCAAGAGATTGTCCCTTTAACGATTAGTGATTTTTGCTCTGTAAACGGATGACTTAAAATTATTCATTATATAGCGAAAAATTCTTCCGATCATACAAAGATTTGGTTTTGGTTTACTCGCTCTTCAAAAGATAAGAAACATAATTAATCAGAAATACAGTGAAAGCTAAATAAACATGCGGCAACTTCACAAGCGAGAAGAGGAATTTCATCTGACATTCAAAAATTGTGAACGTGCCTAATTATTTTCCAATGCAGGCTAATGAGAAACGTCTGTGTTTTTACCGAAACCGATTGATTTACTGTTCATTGATGTAAATTGCATGACGGTGGAGGACTGAAGGAAGACACTTGATTGTTCATACATTTAAGGGAAGTGTAATATAAAAAGGGAAACTCAGTTAAAGAATTTTAAACAGACGCCATTAACAATTCGAGCCCTCTGGGGATGCGGATATGGGGAAGGCATTTAAGTTTTATTCATTGTTTTATTGTTTAATGCATGTTTATGACAATATGTCTTCTGCTGGACATCACAAAAAGACTCCCAGAGAAACTGTCACAACAGAACTGTCCCTATGGGCTGTCAATGTCCCTGTTGCTACAGTAACTGATGTCACAGTGACACGATACAAAGGCACTTCACAGCTTACGAGATTCTGGCCTCAATGAGAATGACAAGGCTGGGAAAATGAAAAGGCACACGTACTGAGGCACAGGGAAGAAAATCGTCAACAGAATATCATCCCAATATCACTCAGGAAGGTAATCATTTTCAGGACGGAAACAGATTCTGGGTTCCTTCATGACTTCCTTCCCTCGATTTTATCTGTCTGTTATGAGGCTAAAATAAAATAAAACATGCGCCAAAATGTTCTGTTCAAGTAAATATTTTATTTTCAGTAAAGTAAATATTTTATTTTTAAATGACTGAAAACTAAAATTACTGTAAATCAACAGCTTTTCAGCAAGCATGTACAAACATTTATAAAAACGGCTGCGAAATTTAGTTGTTGGAGTTACTTTTACACTAAGCTACAATGACGAAGCCAGAGCCTGAGACTCAATTGCATAATGATATTCCATTTGATAGACACATAAAACGCACATGCACAACTTTCTATGCAGAATTTTTGAGAGAAATGACACTTAATGTCTTGAGACATCAGCAAAACGGATACATCAGATCACTCAAATACATCGTAACACTCTTCAATAAATTAAACATCTTAGTTGATAGTTAGAATGTAGCTTTGGGGTAAAGTGATAGCAGTTACAGACACACACACACACACACACACACACACACACACACACACACACACACACACACACACACACACACACACACACACACACATCCACTCTCACTAGTTAGAAGTAAGATTCTGATCATGGTCAACGTAGCCGCTCATCATGAGCGTGGGACCTGGGGGGGGGTGGGGGGGGGGTGCGAAAGGAGAGACAGAGACTGGGGACGTCTTCAAATCCCTGTTGCTTAAAGCCACACAGCCAGTGGGAGCAGGGGGACATTTGTATTCACTCAGCAAGTTTGTCCGCCTGCTGTTGGGAGCTTTTAATAAAGCTGTTTTTGCTCCTAAAGTCGGGCTAAGATGAAGCTACAAACTTCAGTGGAATTGCTGACTTGAAATTATCTGCCACCACTTACACATTACACACGCTCATTTGATTTTATGTAGACGGGAAAAATACTCATCAGTGCAGGTATTAAGGCGGTTGAGAACTATGTTTTCGGGGGGCTTTTTTCGCTGCTTGCCTGCTTATCTTCAGCTCTGGGCTGTTGTGCAAATTTAACTTCAGTGGTTTCTTCTTTTTTGTAAACACACATTGTTTCTACAGTTCGTCCCGTGTGTGTGTGTCCTGCAGCCAGAGTTTGTAGACGGTCACAGGATCTATGTTCCAGTGCTTGTGGAAGGAGACGGCCTGCTCCAATGTTTCAGAATAGTCTTGCGGTCGGGCCTAGAAAATCAAGAACAAGTGGTTTGGTCTGTGTGTGTGCGTTCTTGGGTTGCTCCGAGGTAATTTAATACCCTGTTTTTGAAGCCTGCATTACCCACAAGCCAGTTTTTTTCTCTTCGTGAATTATGAAGAGAGCAGAGCATCACCTGACACGGGATAAAAGGTTACGCGCTTGTCTGTCTGCCATTGGATGTCCTTTAGCTCGCTCATGGTGTTCTCAGTATTATCTGCGGTTATTTCCACCAACGAAGAATACATCTGCTGGCAACATTTTTGGGTGTTGGACCTGACAACAATCCTCAAACCTTCTTGAGGTCATCGCAACAATTTCGGGTTTGAAAAAGCAAATTAGCAGATGTGTTCACAATCTCATTAAGGAGATGTACGTGTGTGTGTGTGTGTGTGTGTGTGTGTGTGTGTGTGTGTGTGTACCTGGTGGAAGAGGGGACTGTGTGTGATGGGAACACCGAGGGAAGTGAGGCACCTGCCCAGCACCATGTCATCGGGAGCGTCGTCGTCGTGGCAGCGGCAGCCACTGGAAGCCAGCAGGGACACCGCCGCGCGACTGAGCACCATCCTGACGCAGATATTTAAAGAAGAAACGGAATTATCTTCACAGGTAAATATTCAATATAAGCTTAATGCGCCCGAGTGTGATTGGCGGAGAAACTAAAGTTAATGATCGAAATTAATAATAATACTGCTCTGTAGGTGCTATACTGTCTGTGTGCTAACAAGTTTGCAATACATTATTTGATCAGTACTGTATGATAATATTTACGACAACACTTTGTCAAATGAGCAAAATAATGTGTGATCCGGGACACATTTAGAAAACAGGTTTTCGTGTAATGATTAGGGGCACTGATTTGAAATTGATCTGAAATTTTTAAATTGTTAATTCAATATTTGCTGAATAGCAGCTCTTTACTGTACAGCAAAGGTACCACTTTTATCCGGCATGAAGTCTCGTGAAAACCTCCCAGCTCAGACACCTTCCCACAGAAGCGCGTGACGTGTCTGTCGATAACTTTGAGCTGTCGTCTTAGCGGGCGATAGAATGCCTGCCGGGGCGAATAATCTCGCAAGAAAAATTCCAACTGACTCTCCGTCTGAACATTTTAACTGCTCCGAAGCACCCCAACCACCCCCCAGCCTCACCCTGCTCCCCCAGTGGTGTAGCTGTATCCGTTGAGGTGCAGGCTGTAGCCGTATCTCTCCCCCAGGCTCACGGCCTCCTTCGGGTCGTAGCAGCGCAGCAGCCGCCGCAATCTGGGTAAACTGCAGGAGGACGGGAGTGAGGCGCGTGCACAGCGCCACTGTACAGTCTGCATGTGGACACCAGGTCCAAGCTACGGCAAATATGCACAACAACGTGCATGATCTTGATCTCAACTTTAGTAAGCCACCGCTGCCACCTGAATGGAAGAAATATCTGAAGGGAACGTTTTTTGTTGTGGTTATAAATGACTAAAGTTGTGGGTTGAAGCAGCGCCTCCTCTCCCAGTTACCTGATGAGTGTATCATCATCAACAACCAGGAGCCAATCGGTCTTTGGCACAGCGTTACTTAGGAACCGCTTCAAGATGGCGAAAGTCTTCCCACAATGCCCTGCAGGGAGGCAACACGGACGTAAACAGGGGGACATGGGTGAGGCAGGTCTGAGGCTCATGAGAATACATGTGATAAAATCCTGGCCGGCGGTCGGCTCGACAAAGGGTTAACTCCCTCATCTGCCATCTGATTCTCTTTGTGTTTGACCTCTTTGTTCCTGCTTCATTCATCTGAGCAATATGATTGCTGGAGGGCAATTCGGTTTGTTAAGTCAATTTCACCTTCCCAGCACGCTGCGGCTTCCATAAACCCCGTCTCTCATCCAGGGAGAAAGCAAGAGCAGATCATAGCTAGATAGTTGATTCCTAAAATGCTATGATTTCGTTTTCATTAAATGAAGACTTTATTATCGCAATACTGACTTAAAATTAAAACAAATCGTCTTGACCATTCTCACGGACGATTCTTCACCACCTTAAACCATCTTGATTCTTGAGTGAATGAGCGTTCATTTTTTTCCCCACTCATCAATAAAATAAACAGAATGTTCTTCAGATCAGGTCAAATGTTTTAAGTAGCCTACATTTTCCAGAACAACGCACACATTCAGAACTCCTCACGTAGCGTGAAGGTCTCTTGCAGTTATAAATATTCAATTAAATCCGCTAGAAAGAATTCCAGATCTAAAAGTCTTTTGGCAACCTCAATCAAATGTCCTCCGACCCGCCCGAGGGTCCCGCCCCCGTGAACTTCTGCTCTGCATCCGCTCACCTCTCTCGGTGTTGGGCACACCCACGGCGATGGTGGGTATGGAGGCATCAGCGACGTCGCTGTAGTACTCAATGAACCCGGCGTCTTTCTCCCACGTCGCCTTCACGACCGGTACTGCGAGGCGAAAGGTGGACAACGATGAACAAGACGAAAACTCCAGAGGACGGTGTGATGAAATGAAGAAGGGTGTCTATTACTCATTTGGTTCTGGATGAGAACATTATCGACAATTAAAACTTCAAGGGTAGAAAACGATAACGATATTGCTCTGTAATCCTGATAACCTGGATGTAAAGTAGCAGCCAGGCAATCACACCGTGTTCTTTTCTGCTGGTTGTTTATTGCCTTCAAAGAGTCGGTTGATAACTACGGGCTCTCTTTGCCTCCGAAAACCGACACACATGTTTTGGATAATTACACAAATTTCCGCAGACAATCTAGGTGAGGTTGTGCATTTAAATGTGCAGTTGCCCCCTGACAAGTTAACTGCAACAAAATGACCAGCAGACTGTTAAGTGGCAGTAAACAAAAAAAAACCTCATTAAAATTATAATTGTTAAGTAACACTTTTGGCAGCTAAATTTCCGGTAGTTTCCATTTAATTCCGATTTCGTCTAAATGAGGACCAACTGGGTTCATTTTTGCAGTTTGGCTCGTACATGTCCTGTGCGCCTGTGCGGCTAAAACATTGTAATATTGTGTTTTATACAAGTCATTGATCACAATAATACACAAAACAACAATAAAATTAGCTAATATCACTAGTGGAAATGAGTTTTGTTTCTTTTTTGATATTGAGATCAATAACAACAACCATTTTTCTGCAGTGCAGGTCACTTTACTTTTGATTCTTTAAAAACATTTTACTGATAATACAGGACTTTCACATGTAAACATGTATTTTTACATTAACGCATTTGTCCTTTTACTTGGAGCCTGAATAGGCCGCGCAGCCCCGCAGATGATATCGCTTAATGAACGGAATTGTTAACGGAAACTGAATTACGCACCTCGTTGCGAGTGGAATTTTTTACAAGTTTTCACAGCAACAAATACTTCTTTCCTTGACACCGGACTTCCCTGGAAAACAGTGAAAGAAAAACCATGTTTTCCTTCATTCAAAATAAATTATGCACCACAGGTATAAAATTGTAAAAAAGTGCACGGAACACAATCAGTGGGAGCTGCAATATATATACAGAACGTAATAGACTTCAAATTGAGTCTGAATGGCATAATGAGGCACACTAGGTCCTTACAGTACTATCATGTATTATCATCTGACCAGACATAGCCTACTTATATCCCTATTGCTCTGAATTCCTATTTCAGGTGTCGCTTTTCCTTTCAGATAATTATCTACAATACTGGGGAAGTTATTACTCGTTTCGAGCTTTCATTTTTTCTGCCAGCGCTGCACAGTGATCAGTATGAACAGCACTCCTCGCGATGCATAACACTAATTGCTGTAAGCACACCATAAGCGATAGATTATTCATGTATCCTTCGTTACAGATGGTCTTCAAATGCATGCGCCTTCTTTTTATGCACATTTGCCACATCAATTGGAAGAAAGAGGAGTTTTCTCATTAAGTCCCGCATACAGCAACATGTGCTTTTTTCTTTGTGTAGATTTATACTTCATTTTTCTATTCATCACATGTAGGTAAATGATATGTGAAAATGGCTGAAAATGTGTGATTTTCAGCCAGATCTACGTACTGACATGGAAAGTTTATCACCTAGTGGATCTCGAGCCGGTTTTTACCTCTTAATGATTGCGATAGCATACTTATGTTGCTCTTAAACAGATGGTAACGTTGAAGCTTTTGTGTCTTTAGTAATTAGGAAATAGCGTAAAAATTGTGGTCGAAAGAGTGGTGCTTTTAGTCAGTTTCTCACTTTCAGGTTCAGGTTAATGTGAAAAGAATAAAAGAAATAGGGGCATCACCAGAGTAGCTTAAGTCTCTTTCAATACCAGCTTGTATTTGGTCACATCATAATAGTTTGTCACCATTCAGGCATAATTAAGTTAAGCTATAAGGACTTAACGTTGTAATTCCTCCAAAAGTGCCATTCCACATGCAGCAAAGTTAGGATCTATGATTCAGCTGTACATATATTATGATCGTATCAGTCCAGTCTTGTAAATGTATTTCTGTAGTCTTCGGTGTCAAACAAAGTCAAAGTTAAACTCAGGTCACTCATCCTTGCAGCAAAACGAGACTTTTTTTTATTTGTACTCCTGTAGAAAGGCCTCAGCACTGGAAATGTGAATAATGTCCTCACTCTTTAACATTTAATTCAGCTGGACAGCATTGTAATTATTGCAATTTGAGGAAATGGATCATAAAAGGAATCCGGTCCTTAATGTTCTGCTTTTGATAATCACCTCAACCGAAATCGAGTCACGCCTGTATTATTTGTTATTTTCTTTCTAACCTTTATTTATTCATAGTGTCACTGAGACGAGGCATCTGATTTGCTGGAACACTCTAATTACATTTGCACAGTTAGTCACATTTCCACCTGCAGGCTGTCCACAACAACCACAGTCTGATCAGCTGCCCACGGAGCGGCTCCACTGCAGCAGTTGGGGTGAAGGGCCTTGCTCAAGGGCGCCTCAGTGGTGGTAATGAGGGTCACAAGCTCCCTTTTCTAGCCTTAAGGCCACCGGTTCAGTTCACAGGACTAATCGTGTTTACCTGCTAAATACCTTTAGCAGGTAAACACACGTAAAATATGTTCCGTGTTGTAATATTTCATATTCGGTCTGCAGAGACCTACAAAATTAGACTTGTATATTCAATGGCTAAAACAGACACTTGTATCACGCATGCATGCTCACACACACACACACACACACACACACACACACACACACACACACAGAGAATTCCTTTCGGAAGATTTAGTGATGATAAGCAAGAGTTGTACGTACACAATGTGGCAGGTAGGTTGTAAATGTCGTAGCACAGTTTTCTCTGGTCTCCGTACAAAACTCTGGAACTGCGGTGAGCTTTGGACCATTTCCATCCTCCCAAATGTACAAAGCAATCTCGGGAAAAAGGGACGGGCACGAAGACAAACAGTGATTGTTTTCCTTTATTTTATTCAAAAATAACAAATGTACTTATTCTTAAACCCATTCGGAAATATAACCCCTGCATGAATAATAACATAACTGATAAAACGAAAGCTGCAGGCAAAGCTGCAGAAGCTTTTTTCAACAAAAGGCCGGCCAGCCCCTAAACGAATAGTCTATTTTATCATTGTTATAGATCGTCCCCTTAGATGACACTGATGGAGCTTAGTAGAATTCAACCAGTACAGAGTCTTTGCTAGAGTTGTGTAATCATCAGTAATTATGTGTTAATTATGGAACTCTCAGGAGCTGGAATGCATGGAGCTAAAGTAAAAAACATCTCACCATCTCACTAGAATCTTCAATTAAATTCAAGAATTGTTTTAGTTAATTATCTGCCGTTATGTTATATTATCTGCTACTATTGTTTGTTTTTATGTCCGTATTTTGTTTATGTGTTTGTGTATGTTTACGTATGTGTGTGTATATGTGTATTCATTCTAATGGATGGTTGATGCATATCTTGAAAATTTAAAAAAAATGTAATTAACCAAAAAATAAGTGTCATTTTTTGAGAGGCAGGACACAGATTTACAAAGCTCCTGAACATTGTTCAAAGTTACCTCGTGTTTCAAGTCGATTGTGAAATCGGACTTGGGTTGCATGTGTTGGATCCGCTCAGCGAGTCTGAAACACATGGAAGTGAGAGATGAACGGCACGGTGGAAGTGGGGACTTTCCTTCCTCGTATCGGAGAATGTACATTGGACAGCCAAAGGTGTTCTGAGTTGTTTGTTTTTCAGCAATTCCTTTGAATCCTTGTTTGTGTTTTCTGCATTTGAAAAGAGCACAAGCTCCAGATTTGAAGGGACCTTATTTTGGGACCTTTTACAGGCATAGACACAAATCAATGGAGCGTCTGTTTGGATGTGAGGCATAGACAAAAAAATGTGGTAGCGGATGATGTCTTTTCTTTCCAGGCATTGTGGTTCGGATCTCTAGCCTCTGTACGTGTTACTCGCTATTATTCATTTCGATTGGGTTTCTGCACCATGTATTGTAATGGTGTCTACCACCATAACACTGAAATGAATGAATGAATGAATGAATGAAGGTTTTCCCTCAGCCATGGTCACATTGTCCCAAAAAAAGAAAAAGAGGACAGAAAGACATGAGTGACACATTCATGCATACACACCTCCGGAGCAGCAGCGAGCTGAGAGCCCAGCCTGCTGCGGGGTCAGGGTAACTAAAGGAACCGGGGTCCTCGGAGAACGCATAGTGGTGGATAATGGAGGGCTCGTTGTCATGGAGACGCTTACCCAAAAACCATTCCTTAGAGTTGGGGGGGAACAAAAAGGTAGACAGGGCACGGTGATATGAAAAGAAAGTAGCTCATTCATTTTCCAGGCATTACAAAGTGTAATAAGTTCTCCAGTGCAGAAAACCAGATCATCTATACTATAGGACATTTTGCAAAAACAGAACCTGTAGCCAGCGCCCGTCCAGGGTCGTGCATCTCACCTCTTGGACTTGATATCTGTTGAGGACCTGCAGCAGCTTAGCCAGCGTGACGCTGGTTTGCTCCTCTAGGAAGAAAAACCAGGATGCTGATAGGCCGTAAGTGGCGGAGAGACTGGAAAGATCCACACAAAGTCATTAACGGGATGCATACATTTCACCCCAAACGAATCATTACAGCTGAAACCAATTAAGCCATATTGAGTTTAATTTGATTATTTTGTTTACCATCTCAATATGTCTCTATAAGACTCACTTAGGAAGCAAAGGGAGGATGCTCCAATCCCGTTCAAACGTGGACAGCTCATGGAGAAGAAGAACGACTGGAGCTCCCTGCGTGAAACAAAACAACAAAAATTTGAAAATGTGTTTTTGTGTGCACCATAGGGACGGGAGACCAGAGTAAAACAACAAGTAGACAACAGTCGGGTCGAACTGGCACGATGTGCATTAAAGTAAAAAGAAAGGAAGTACTCCACTTGAATTTTGAACGAGTAAAATAGCAAAACAAATAAGTAAAAACTGGGACCGGGAGTTCTGGGAGATTTACCAGAAGTATGTATTACTATTTTTTTTGTCTCAAAATCTAACGTAACACCATGATACATAGTCCACTGACATGATCATCCAAATACACCCGGACATCCTGGTGGGCATCGACTGGCGAGGCCTTTGATCGAGACCGCGGTGAGTAGCAGCCTCTGCTTGGAGGCGCAGTTTTTTTCAGTGTAGTTCTGACAATGGCGTGCTGAAAAGTAGGGCAGGGGGAGCTCCTGTGACTCCCTCCTTCCCTGAGTGACTCATGCGCATCCCGTCCAGGCAGGTATTCTTAGCACTGACACAGTCACGAGGATTAACGCAAGTATTGCCAAAAATAGGTGTAAAATGAACGCCAATGTTTACTTCCGTCTCGTCTCTGCAGAGATCCAGCCCCTCATTCAATTGCATCAATGTTCAACAGCGAAAAAGCGACCTGAAGCGACGTTAATAGTTTTTTGATTCATGACAATGACGAGACCAACGAAAGCAACGTGTCAATATTAAAAGCACTGTAAGGAAATCTAGCTAACATTCAGAGTTGATTGCTAATTTCACTGCCCTCCATGACATAAATGACACTAGATGCACGCGTAATAGTCACAAAGTATGGTCACATTGTGTCCCAGCAGACATGCCTCACATTGAAAGTTCACATGCGCCCCCTCCCCCCCCCCTCTCAAGTCCACTTCAAATTGTGAGGGAGCAAAATGGGGGTTTTTACCAGCTGCTGTAAGTGCGGCGGTAAGAGGTGGGCGAAAAGAGCTGAGAAGGGACTCTGTAATGAGGTTGGATGATGAGGCTGTAAAATACGCTGCATTGACAATGATCTCTTGGATTAAACGCCTGCACTTACGGCGAGTAACACAAGGGCCGTGTGACAAGCCTGTAAAAATAAAACGGTTTACCTCTCCCTTTAAATCCAATACCGGGAAAAAATGTGGCTGTGAATCTGTGTAAACAAGGCAGTAAAACTGAGACGCATCATGACTGATATCCACGACGAGCTGTGTGTCAAAATACTCCTTCAGTGTCAACAAATAAAAGAAGAGTCAGACAAGGAGTTGTCAACATGTCATAAGTGACCTTTAATCCCTGTCCCGGGTAAAAAAAAAAAAAATGTTTAAATGCGAGACGCACAACCTGCCCTCATTCAAAACATTGTGCTAGTCGAGTAGCATCTCTCTGGTATAGACATCCAACCCACAGAAAGCTTTCACACACACACACACACACACATACACACACACGCCTGTCAGCGAGCAGAGATGTTCGTACCAACCTCAACATACCGTCATTAATCACTACATTTTTCTCTTTTCAGTAGTAACAGTTTTCCCAGCGTGCAGTCGGATTTTACTTAATCACTTTCCCCACACAGATAGTCCCTCATTCAGTTTTGAGGCAAATGAGTTGGCTTCATTATTCTGAAGCCATAACACGACAAATGAAACGTTGTTGTCAACACTCTGAATGGAACATTAGGCCAACAGAAGATCACCTAGCGTATTAGATGTGGTTCCTTTTGGATATAGCAGTAGAAATAGTGGGGGTTCTGAACGACCCCCTTTACAAAATTACGATGGCCGTATAGATGGCGGAGGTAGAACCGTTGCTGCGGTCCAGTTACAGAGAATGACAGGGAATAACTATAAGAGGCTGGGAGTGGGTCAAATTGGAGCTGACTACAGCAAAGATGGGGGGGGGGGGGGGGTACATATGTGTATTTCGTATAGTTTATGAATCCTCTTCACAGCTTCATGTCTGATTTTCTGGATTGAAAATGAGTTTTGAGGGATAATACAAGATTATTTCACAATATACCCATAATTCAAAGGAGAATCAGCAATTCTGGGTGGCTACTGTCAGGACCATATGCCTGTCCTCTCATTGCACTGGGCTCCATAACAAATTCGTTTTTCCAGCTACTCTTCAGGCACAAATGTGTAAATAATAGTAGCATGAGAGCAGAGGGGCTCATTTCCTCTCAGCTTATTGAGGAGAGCTGAGACAAGGAGGACACCTAATGGTGCCGATGTAACGCTGCAGCAGTGCAAAAGTACCACATTCAAAATGAAACTCCCTGCAGCGTTATTGTTCCTTTATTGCCAGCAAACCACATTTCATGCACATAATAGAGATATTAATTGTGCGCAATTCTTGGACTGCTGTTAAACCCACTTGATGTGTTGAAGTAACTGAAATAAAGCCTCCATATTAAACTATAGCTGCTCCTGTGTTTTCCCCTATGAGATTACAAATTAATTCAAAATCAAATGCAGATTAGATTAGACCGCTTTCTAATCCATCATCCATCATACTTGAAGGAAATGCCAGTATAGATAAATGCTTAATGAATGGACGCTGAATAAAACAGTATTATTGGATTTCATGGAGTTCCTTTAACCGCTCTGACTTTTAAAAGAAATAAATAAAAAGAGCATGCATTTGATCTTGAGCCATTAGATTAAAATGGAGATTCTGCCTGCTAGTTACCCGTTGCCATGGTGAATCATGGATCGGGGCCGTATTGATAAATGCTCTTTGAACACAAAGACTTTACTTGGAGTGAACAAACTCTGAGCAGCTTTTCTGGAACTAAAACCCCAGAGTTTCCCATTTCACGGTCAGTGAACTCAGAGGTCACGGTTAGAGGTCAGAGTTACTTAGAGCTGCTTTCTGAAACAGGGCCAAGAACGGAGATATAAAGCTCGGCGACGGAGCTAATCCGGTGTCTGCCAGATGTTACCTGCCCAAGCTCAGCTGCCCGCTGAAGTATCTCCACCTTCCTCTCACCAGCTCGGCGTGCGTGGAAGGAGTTCCTCTGGCTCTGGATCACTAACACCACGTCCGACAATCCTGCAAAAAGACAGAAAAGGTAGATGGACGACAAATGAGGAAACCCAGAGAGACGTGACAATTAAAGAAAACAGGGCATTTGGGGAAATGCTCTTATTCGTCTTCCTGCCAAGTAAACTTCACAGCGATGACAGAGATGAAGAGTACACAGTTTGTGCTTTTAGTAGTCGCAACAAATAATCACTTTGCATTCCTTGATCGGTTTCTCACAGACAGAATGTCAGACCATCCGCCGCCAAAAAATCCCTCACTCACCAATAGAGGCGTGGGATGCGTCCTCCTGGCGCTGTGCGGCCTGCGGTGGGGTCCAGAGGGAGACTCGTTAGCTCACACACACACACACACACACACACACACACACACACACACACACACACACACACACACACACACACACACACACACACACACACACACTGCAGCGCCTCATGACGAAAGCACAAGCACGGCGGCGATCTGGGGCACTCACATGGGCACGGCCTGTAGGTCCGTCTTCTGCGGAGGCACCTTGAGGCAGCGAGAATGATGCATTACATCATCAAATGTATGAATTAGTGACGCAAATGACCGATTCATCTCGGAGTGGATTAGACGATCCGTCAGAGGGGAATCAATTTACAACAGAAGTCGTACTTAAAGCAAGAAGAATGAATGTGTCCTTTTGAGCTCAGGCACTTTCCAGGCACTCAAATATAAATAAAAAAAACCAATAGACGCATAAAACCAACAAGGTGAATGATTGGCCCGGTAAGCATACGATAAACGACTGAATATTAATGCATAAAAAGGCACCGCTTCAATAAATAAAGAATCAATAAACGTTGCCAACTTTCAACATCTTGACGCGTCTTTTAGAACGTGACATGTGATGGTGCAAGCAGGAAGCCAGCAGTAGCAGGTTCAAAGGTTGCTGTAGACTTCTTGTATCACTGTCAAGAAAATCAAAGAGAGACTTTAAAGCCACGACATCTTAAAGCAGACTTTGAAATCACAGCTAGAGCTACTCATCAGTGTGTTGGTTTGTGATGGTAAACATATGCGCTGGTATCCGCACTGCCGCTCACACATCTGGCTGGTTTGATGTATTCTCTTTGTATGCAGTAAGTACTGTATGTGTACCACCAAAGGGGCAAAACAAACCATCAGCGGTCTATGAATGAGTGGAACTAATGGAGCTATAAGAGAAAAGAAAATGAATAACATTAAGAATTATATTACTTTAGGGATACCTACCGTTGTATTGCATATCTGGTTATATCGATACATCCGAATCAGTTAAAATGTCTATTTCATGAATATTACAGGAAATGCACAGGCGTAATTAGCATCATGAATGAATGACATCCCACCATTTAAGCCATTGAATTGTTTAGAATTCACGTCACATCACATCTTTTCATATAAAAGACAAAAAGGGGTCTCCATCAACAAAATTAAGGTCTATGACAACACCAATGATATGATATGTATTGTAACATTGTATTATAAATCCCAGACTAAAACAAATTAGTGTTTCCAGTTTCTATTTCAAACTCCCTGCACGTCCACGTCACGCCCCTACGGCGGTTTTCAATTAGTTTTTCCTGATTAGACCTCCTCTCAGGACTCCGGTGGCCTTCACACACTGTGTTTGATGGACATTTCCCATCAGCCTCCCATCAGCCCCATCACATTTCTTTGCTCATGTTAGCTCAGGGTGACGTATTAAATACCCTTTGTAAATCTGAGCACAGACCTCGTTCGCCACCGTGAGACATTTTTAAATGATTGCTGGCTGATATTAATAGTCCACTATTATAGAGATGTAAATTACCTCTCCGTTGCATTCATAATTCATTCAAAGGAAATGGTGACTATAATTCCCCGGGGTTACAGACAAATTATGCGCTCATGGAGCGGACACCAACTCTCCCCAGAGATTTATGAGTTTTATGTAAACTGAAGCCAGGAATGCAATCCAAAACCGGGTATTAAATCGGTGCCAAAGTAAATATAGATCACAGCAACGACTGACACCAACAATGTCTGTGTTCTTCGTTCTTTATGAACTTTGCTCAGGAATGTTATTTATTTTATTGATATTTTAGTGTTCAGGACTTTATATTGTGACATTTTGCTGTTGGAAAACAACAATATGTCACATCTAAATTGTAATTTATCCTAATTCTCTTCCGATTCGTTTTTTAAATCCTTTTTTGTTAAACGCTTTATTATTCATCAGCCATGACTAATGATTAGGGTGGATCCTAAAGACACTCATCCACACCTTTAAGCCATAGTAGGTGTCTTACACTTAGGGACCATGCAGTGGTTGCAACCTGCCCCCAAAACTCACTTTCTGTGCATTCAAACGCCCTCTTCTTTACAAACCCCATCGCATCGTCTGCATGTTGCGGGGCACCAACTTATTTACCGTTAAACTATCGTCCGTTTTGAATTTCAAAATAAAGCACAAAATACTCAATTTTTTGTAATAAACCAAAGACCTGTTACTAAAAGATAGCTTTGGGGGTAAATAAGTATATTTTTAAAAAAACAGAATGCACTTAATCTCTGGTAAAATTATAAACTAACAAGACATTGAAGGCAAAAATCAATCGCTTCCGGTTTTCTCCTCGTGCCATTCGCAGCGCGTCCTGCTGTAGCGCTAGCGGCGCCGCTAGCAGCGTCAGCCGCAGCGGGGCACCGAGCCCACTTACCGAGGCAAAGGAGAAGCAGGGCGACCGCTTCGCCTCCCTGTAGCGCATTCCGGCGAGCCATGGTGCCCGTGTCCGCTGTTCGACCCCTGAAAGAACCGTCTTTTTTTACGGCTAAAATGGTTAGCTTCACCGCCTCAGTGACAGAACAGCGTCTGACTGCAGTGGGTGTTATTGAAGAGCTGCAGTGACCTCTAGCGGTGGCTGTTTGAATAATTACTAGAAGGCAAATATTACAATTAGCGTTATAAATAAAGGGACGGGTTTTTTTTTACTTTTGTAAAGGATCCGAATTTTCTCCCACAACTGACGTCTATTTTTTAATGAGATTAGTGTTCATGTAAACATAACATTTTTCACATTGGTCATATTGCATTAGAATAGATAATAGGCAATATGCTTTGTGTTTTCGTTATTTATGATAAGCCGTGTTAATATCTTCCACTAAAACTAATTGTCCATCGAGTGCATTACTTTTTACTTACTATTTTTGACATTTGTGTTGGAAGCTTTGTGTTCTAGGGCATCCAGACTGGTTGAAACATGACTGATGTGTTAAACAGGCCCAAAGTTCATCCGGTTGGTTTGGATGTGTAAAAAAAAAAACGTTGGTGTTGACATTTCTGTCCGTATAAACCAAACTTTAGAAATCAAATTGCTTTGCTCTATGCGAATAAGGAACTACTGATGGATAAGAACTGCAAACCAGGTTGTCGTTGCCACACAAAGCTTCAGTCATAATGTTACAAACTGCGTCGGCATGCTGTTGTTTCTTTGTGATGTCGTGCAACATCTAGTCTCATTTATATGTAAATCCTACATCCAAACGTTGATCTAATTCATTAATACTTTAATATATGCAACTGTATTTCCTCACTCACTTATGCCTATATGCATTGTGCAGACCGTTAGTACGGTGGCTCTGAAGTGCAAATCACAACGGCAAATAGGAAAACAACAGAAAATAGGAAAACACAACGACATTAACTTCTTACGAAAAGAGTAGGGCATTTCATTCGCTTGTTTATTTTGCCAGGGTCTTAACATTGCTTTGTGCAGCCTACTAGGCTATTGTTTTTTAAATTAGTTCATCAGTTGTTTTCCATTAAACGTCAGAAAATAGTTTACAAATGCCGTATATTGGCTGACCAAAATTATGTAATCATAAAAATAATTATCGTAAAATTATCTTAATCTTAAACCATTTTCATTTCTCAAAACTGCTCAATTCAAAACGCATTTTCAGATAGTTTTTTAACTCCAGGACTATTAACCGCCACACTACAATACGATTTAATGAGCAGACAAAATCCCCAAAACATCACTCTGCAAATGCAAGAGCGAGGTGGTGCTCATGTTTTAAATGACACAAACGATTATTCTGTCGCGAAACAAACCGGAAATGCTCTCGTGTCCGCGTGTCCAGCTTCACAGTTGTTTAGTTATATAAAAAAAAAAAAAAAAGCAGCCGCGCGCACAGCGGGGAGAGAGAGAGCACGTGACACCATGACGAGCGACGGGCTGTCGCACAGCGGGATGCGGGTGACAGAAGTGGAAGAGTTCCTGAAAAACCCTCCGGCCGGTTTCTCCGTGGAGGTCCTCTGCTCGGGTTACCGAGTGCACAGCGACCCGGAGAGCAGCCTGGTGCTCATCGAGGACTTTGACTCCCGCAGGGGGAGAATAGTCTTCGAGCAGTCCCTGGGAAGGTGTGGGAGAACGGCCACGGGCCTTGCATTTCATACACACGCACACAAAACATCACATCTGATTTGTTTTGGGTTTTTTTTTTTTCAAAACAGGAAGGTTAAGATGCAGAATTTATGGGAATATAGCTCCATGAGGAAAAGTCTTGTGTCCAAGTGGATCTATCTGCACATGTCTGCCTGCGAAGAAAACTCCTCAGTGGCCGACGAAGCCAGAGGTAACTGTAGCCTCCCACCCATTTTACCACAACACCCCCGGCATGACGCAGACGCACGTTTTTGTGTAATAACGCATGATGAATCACTCACTAAAACTATAGGTGCATAAATTTGAAACTGCTTTGGCTGCATCGGGTGACTTGTGCTTGCTGCCCGAAACTTTTGGACGTCTGCAATGGGCGGAGGGCGAGAAATAACCTCCCTAAACGAGCGCCCTGGTGTTTTCCTCTTCGACCCTGATTTCAGTGCTGGAGCACTTTGTGGTTTGCATAGACGGCAACAATCCCTTCATCAAGTGGCAGATGGAGAGAGGCCTGGACTGGACCATCTCCTCGGTGGCGGGGGAAAGTTACAGCGTGGATGTAAGAAGGACTCGCTACTCTCTCCCCTCCGTTTATGCTTCATACATCTCCGACAAAGTTGCAGTTTTTGTATTTTGGTGCTGAAAGTGACCTGTTCTGGTGTCAGGTTGACTTGACTGAACCGCTGGAGAGCTGGGCAGCAATAAACATCCACATGATAAATGACAAACTGCTAAAAGTCAAACCCGTGTGGAGAGATGCCTCCTTCACCCTCAAATACCATTCTGACGCCCTCTTTGACTTCCCACACTGGTTTGGCTTCAGCAAAAGAAAGTTTAATGTAAGTATCTCATTTTTATGATGATTGCAGTGTAAACATTTTCCTTATTTGTCCACCTGTTGCACTTCTCTAACGTGTCTTCCCTGCCCATATCTGATACCATTACAGCTGAGACTGAAGTGAGCCAGCAGTGGACGGAGAGCAAGACAAAATTGAATTCATTTAAGTTTTGGGGTGGAGTCGGTGTCTTGTTCCTCAAGAAATCCTCTTGATCAGCAGACGGATTGTTTGTAACCGAGCAGCCTGCTTCTTGGGGTTGCAGTAACTATCTCTCCATGGCTGATGGGTCCAGATACTTCTCATGTCCAGTGGGTGGACACGACTGACGAGGACATTTCCTATGCCAGGAATATTGTGTAAGCACATTTTGTGTCTAATTATGTCTTTTGAAATGGGATTTGCTAGAAAATTGCACATGCTTGTGGGCTTTTGTACCAAGGAATCAGCATTTGTTTACGAGAAGCTTTATTTTTACCAAACACAATAAAAACAAAAGAAAAGCAGTTGTTTTTTGATTTTTTGCGTGGTTGCCAGCGCGAGGCACACACCGCACTACGGGATGAGGAGGAGAGCGGACGCGGCTCCGGTGATGGTTTCCACGTATTCCTTATAGTCGCTGCCGTAGTAGTGCACCAGCAGGTAGTTGAAGATGCCCACAATGCACATGGAGAACAGGAAGAAGAGGACACGCTTTCCAAACATGTAGCCTGGGGTGCTGCAAGTCCACGTGAAAAGATATTAGTTAGACCATAACTCTAAATACACACACACACACACACACAAATGATATACATACCTCTGAGAGGTTTGCCCCATGTATCCAACAAAGTACTTCTGCCTGACAACCAGATAGATGATCCCGGCAAAGGCAGCAGGAGCTTCAAATATGTCAGAGAGAGAAGAAAAAAAAAAGACAAATCCTGTTTATAACCTTCACTTGGTTTCTTGAGACACTTCGCGCTTGTCGCCCACCTTTAGTCCGGGGTTTCGTTTCATGGATTTGCTCGGCCCAGATAAGGGATGTCTTAATGGTACAGCATGCAATGGTGGACCATAAAACTCTTATATTTGGGAACACAAAGTGGAATAAACAAGTGGTTACCAATGTTTACAGGGCTGCTGATGATTCACAGTGTATCAAAGGTTACATTTTCAGTGTCCCAGTGTCGAAAGACGGCTATTTTACTGTGCATACGTGTTTTACATGGGAACCACTCTCTGGGTATTTTGGGTTAATTATCTTATTATCATGGCCGTATTTTCACTGCTCTTCATGTCTGGTGAATTAATCTCAATGTTAACATGCATGCGTTTGTTTGATTAATACATTATTCATTTTCACAATTTAACTTGAATGCTGTAGTACATTTACATGTATCACCACACATGTGTATTCTGGCCATTTGATGGCGATTCCCTGCAGCCATGGTTTCAAAATCTTGTGGAAAGTCTTCTCTGAAGCAGGGCGCTAATGCTGCACATTAATTGTTTTATGGTGTTTGTGTTTTGAGTGTCCACATGCTTTTGGCCGTATTGTTTAAATGTAGCTAACTTACTACTATACTTAGATGCAGTTCTGATTTTTCTAGCAAAGAATACAAAAATCAAATATATCCACAGAACAATTGATACTGTTCAGCGTGTTTCCTTAGTTGAAGTGACTTTGTGTCTTTTGATCCTGTTCAAAGGGCAAAAGTCTCTCGTAGCCCTTTAAAATAACTGATTAATGATTACCTTGATTGAGACACAGGCCGGCACACCACATCACTGCCAGGAAAGTGGGATACGCGTCCATGCAGTTACGACTGGAAGGTGCAAAGGCAAAAGGGGCAATTAGAATTTCAGGAAGTCCTCTGCAATGAATTAGCATGAAGCAATCTTCTAACTGTTAGAGACAGCGCGAGGACCAACGCCGCAGGGCCCGTTTGCTGTCAGGAAATGTGCTGAACCTGCAGACCAAAAAAGGCTGCAAATAAACCGAGCATGAGCTTCAGTGCTGGAGGAGTAGAGTTGAACTCAGGAGGCGCGAAAAAGTGTCGGCCCCTCTCGGAGGCAGCTCGCACTGGCTGTTGCAAGACATTGCAATGACCAGTACAAAGGTGTTTCACATAGCCCTGTAATGCCAGAGCCTCAAAGTCATCCAAAATACGTCACACCTCAGAACAGTTCACAAACCGAGGGGCCACAAGCGGATTTGTTGAACAAATCAAATTCCCTTTTGATGTGAAACACTGGATACTTTCACCACTCTACACCTGTAATAAACCCTCTAACGAGAGGTATTACACAGACTTAATGTTTGCATCACATTTCAGAGGCTAAAGTTTGAAATCCTCACATTATCCACAAGACAGGATGTTGCTCAGGTGTTTCCTATAAGAAACAGGAAGTGCATTGTTGCTCGTGCACTAATACACCGGCTGGACCAATAACAGCAACGTCTTTCTCAGTTACACATTTTGGGTTTGCATTTCAAACTTTAGCCTCGTATCTAAAGCACAGCTAAGGCGGCGCCGCACGAAGCGTTATCATCAGCAGTTCTGCAATCTATTAATATATGCATCATAGTTGACTTTGTTGAATATTGTTCAGAATGATCCTCAATCAATTAATCGAAGCAAGAGAAATTAATCTCAAAATGAATCTCAATCTCCAAAAACCCCAGGTGACGTACTTAGATTATCCGATCATGAATTAAAAACACAACCACGTTGAATTCACAGCGATGCTAAACAAGAAAAGCAGGAGATTATGTTTTACATTCAAATGACGTCTGTATCCGTTGGTTTTCCCGTAAGGGAGCGGTCATGCAAATGAGGACGGCCTCTCAATGTGGGTTTGTATTCGTAATGTAAAACCACATAGAACGTTCGTGAGTCTTACACTAGAAAACCAAGAATAAGACGAGTCCAATTGTTTTGTGAAATGGTACTTACTTGGCACAACGAACCCGTTCAAAAACAGATGTGGGGATATTTTTACTGTTGCCCTCCTTCTCGACCTTTAGGGCAAAGAAAGCTTAAAAACACACAAGATCATTAACATTATCACAGCATCACTTTTCCCACCACTGACTCATCCAAAACTGAGTTTTAAAAAACATGTTTTGGATGCTTCTTGCTCTTTCTCACCATTCTGAAGCACGCTGATCAGGGTGACGATGACCAGGAGGTAGATGTGCTCCACCACCACACTGTACATGATGGCCTTTTAAGATGCGGGAGCAGGTGGATCGAAAGGGCCGAGCTTCGCTTTCACGTCCGGAGAGCACGTCTTTAAAGTCAGCTTAAAAAACGTCAACTGAAAAACATAAACCTGATTCGTCTCTAACATCAAGCACTGCCCCCCCCCCCCCCCGTCCCACCTCCATGCAGATACACGCTTGTTTGTGGCTTCCTCTTTATGTAAATTTTGCTCTGGCTTAATACAGAGGGGTGCAAACAAGCCTGCTACTTCCTCTGTGTTTCTGTGAGAGATTACACACAGATGCACATATATAGATTTGCATCGCAGTGGCTGTGTTTATGTGTGTTATTTGAGGGGTTTCTTATGAGTCTTTATAAAGACCAATGCATCTGTTGGCTCTGATCTATAGCAAGTTGTAAATTGGCTTATTTTATGAAATTGCACTTTCTTGTTTCTTGTTCTTTTGAGTTTGTATCCTTATGGTTGAAATGCAGTTATTGTAAGGTGCTTTGGATAAAAGCTAAATGTTAGCCGCATAGAAAAGTAATCCTAGAAATACCCAGATTCAACAAGTCATTGGTTTTACTGAGTACAAATGTGCTCTTCCTCTTATGACGAGTCACAATGTTTTCATCTTGTACTCAAAAGCAACAAAAACAAAACGCACACCATATTTTAATTTTCAAAACGTCATTAAGAGCAATGAGCAGTATGATGTAATATAAAGTGTTAGGGTGGGGGGGGGGGGGGTGATCATCTTGTATGTTGTATTGTATGTTGATCCACATTCCTGAAAAGAATAGAATTCTGGCCCGTCAACAGTCGAACAGCACCTGCAGGTGCCTTTAAGTGGTAATGCAGCTGCTTTACCCCGTTGATGTTATGGTTTTATTGTATTTTCTCCACAATTTTCATTTTCAATTACACAAAGCTGTAAAGGAAATCCTATTTTTTTTATTGATGGCTCGAAGATTGTTGGGATCGTTCATCCAAGAAAAAGACACTAGACGCAGACGCCCACACACACCGGAAGTGTTACAGTGTTCAGTTACAATCAGTTAATAAATAAAAACTATAGAGTAAAAGACGTCGACCAATAAATAATCAAATCACATACGTGCACTGACCATAAACATGGTCAAATTTAGTAAAATCTGCCCAAATGATAGCATGTCCCATATGGTCTAGCGGTTAGGATTCCTGGTTTTCACCCAGGCGGCCCGGGTTCGACTCCCGGTATGGGAACATATCTTTTGGCCATTTTCAAAAAGACATGACGGCACTGAAGCCGGTTCATGAGACTTGAAAAAGGGAGTTATCATACCGCTAACTTTCGCGTGTCTGTTGTTGGCTCGTACATGTTGAGGAATTCATTAGATTAAACTCCCTATAAAATATTCATTTTGTCCTAAAGATAATTATGTATGGATTCTAAATCAGTGTGATTGTATTTGGTTTCATACAAACTATTTTTTTAAGATTGTACTCTTGCTATTAACGATTGAATTGCATACTGACAAATATAATGGATTTATTTTTACTTTACGGATACAATTCCATTCTGACAAAAACGTATTTGTTTCTTTAAATGCACTCACTTGTCTGAAAAGTGCAGCTATATTTCATAATATTATCTGCCACATGCTCTGACAGCAGCATGTTGTGGATGAGGTCATAGAACTTTTTCACAACTTTTTCATTTTTAATGCGTGTCAGATCGGTCTCAAAATCAACAGTACAAGTGTAGTTGTAAGTGTGAGTTTGTAATAAGTGCACCAATAACTAGGTTCTTGAAAAGACTTTAAACACATTCCATTTTTACAGTAAGAACTGAAAATAATTTATTAGTACAAGACATTTTTCAATAATTACATTTTGTAAAAAAAACACAAGTGTCATCTAAAGTTTATTATTAAATAACAAATTATTTTTTCATGAAAATATTCAAGTAAGTTGTCTAAATAACAAAGCAAACAGACCTGACTGCTTCAAACAACTCGGCAACACACTATGTAAAACGTGCCAGAGACCATAAAAGTATACAACAATATCATCCATGGTTCAACCAAACAAACAAACAAACCAACCAACCCAGTGAACATGGCTTTCAACTCCATCAACCGCAGGGTGAACGGCAACATAAACCTTTAACTTCAAATGGAACCGTCCATTCTGCTAGATGCTCCTCAAGAGGCCGAGTGGTGGTCGAAGCGCTCGGAGCTCAAACGAAGAGCTCGAGTGCGCTGAGCGCCTCGGTCTCCATCTCGCTGGGCCTCTGAGCCACAGCCTGCGAGAGGAACTCCTCCAGGAAGTTCTCGGGGGAGGGCGCGTTCTCCCGGGCAGCCGAGCCGACGGAATTGTCCCCGCCGTCCGGCCGGTCGGCTCCGTCCTGCCCGTTGGCGAGCATCTCCAGGAAGCCGGTGCTGTCCGGCGAGAGGTTGCTGGCGGTCGTCGCCGGCGAGAGCAGGTCCGACAGGAAGTCGTCGCAAAGGGAGCCGTCGTAAGTGCTGGAGGTGACCGTGTGCGGCGAGCCCAGGTCGGTGCTGTCGGGTCGGGGGCCGGCGGCGCGGTTGTGACCCAACATCTCGTTCAGCTTGGCGAGCTTCTTCTTCTTTGCCTTCAGCTTCTTTATCAGCTTGTACCTGAGGGCCTCCGTGTCGCTCAGGCCCGGAGGAGGCTTCGAGGACCGGCTGCTTTGCATCTTCGGCCCGTTTATCTCAGGAAGGAGGCCAGCTCGGGGCAGGGGCAGAGGGGTGTTCTTCAGCAGTGTCTGGTGGTTAAAAGTCGCTGGTTGAAACGGCTTCAACTTGCCGTCGGGACTGGCGGGTGGCGGGAGCGGACTTGAGCTCTTTGTAAGGAAGCCGTCGTACATCTCGGCAGCTTTTAGCGGCAGACCATCGCCCTCCTCTGTTCGGAGCTGTTGTTTCGGGGCAAATCCTCCCGGGGTCGGCGGTTTTGTCGCGGGGTTGGAAGTCGACCGAGAGGGCGCAGCGGGCCGAGAGGGCTTCACGTGTGCGACGGCGGTGGTAGTGGTGGTCGGGTGAGACGGGGCCAGCTTGGCGATCGACCTTTGGACTTGGTTCATTGGGTGTTTGCTGAGCAGGAAGGACCAGCGGGCGTGCTGATGCTGCATCGGCGGACTCCTCCGACCTCCGGATAGGGGGGACGCATCTGTCGAGGACACAGGGGACACCTGCTGTGCTTTGACAACGGGGGGTGTGGTGTCCAGCGCAGTGGCAGCTTCCGCGGACTCGTCCGGCAAAACCTGTGCTGCCTCCAACGCCACCTCTTCTAGCGCCGCCGCCTCAGGTGCTGCCTTAGGTGCTGCCGCCTTTGGTGCCTTTGGTGCTGCAGCTTTTGGTGCCTTTGGTGCTGCAGCTTTTGGTGCCTTTGGTGCTGCAGCTTTTGGTGCCTTTGGTGCTGCCTTTCCTGCCGCCTTCGGGGCTGCCGCCTTTGCCGCAGATCTTTTGCGTCGGGTGAATCGTGTGCCTCGTCTTCGGCCTCGTCTTTTCCTACCATCGGGCACAAACGAAGGATCGCTGGACGAGCCTTCTGCGCGATCTGATTCAGTAGGTTGGGGGAGCTCTGCGCCGCGGCCGAGGGAGATTTCGGCACTTGAGAGGGAGCAGGGGCTATCTGGGGCGTAGTCGAGCATCTTGTTCCTGCTGGGGCTGTTCAGATTCGGGGTTCCTTCCTCATTTAATTCCACCAGCGTGAGCGTGACGATGTCGTCGTGGGAGAGGCCCTCGAAGGTGTCGAGCAGCGTCGTGGAACCTATGGACGTGTTGCCAACGGCGCCCGCCGGGGTGTCCGTGATGTTGGTGCCGTCGTCGGCTAGAGAGAAGGCACAGGCAACGCTGGGAGTCCGCAGCAGCGACCAATCGGGAGTGCAATACGACAGTCTGTCCGCTGGTAAGTCTTTGTCCCCTCGACTGGGGCTCACCTCCTTTTTAAAGGGGGGAGATTCAGCAAATGTGGTGGAGGGAAAACACGCACGAGGCTCTTGGTCCTCCTCCTCCTCCACCTCCCAGAAGACGACGTGCATCTCCTGAGCAGGAACCGGGAACCTTCGATGGCTTCGACACTCCGGATGTTTCAAGTCGTCGTATTCGAGCCATGATCCTGTGAGGACAAAACGCGGTGAGAACCGATGCAGATTGCGGCACGTGATGCAGACTAAAAGCAAGACTTGATGAATTAAGAGGAATAATCACAATATTGGTAGAAAATGTTGGTTCAAAAAGGACAATGACGTGTGCCTTCTGGACATTATGTTGCATGATCTGTCCAGCAGAATGTGCTGTTGGCAAACTGCATTGCAGAGGAGCAAAAGCATCAACCTTCATTTCACTCAACCGAATGCTTCAGGCTTTGTTTATGCTCGCGCTCGGTGACGTAGCGCCGGGTCTGAACAGCGGCGTTTACACTCGCTACGAGACTCTGAGATGCAAGAGGGCGCAGAACTGGGAAGGATAAAAGATTATACAGATATGGCCAAAATCCTCCAGTGGCGAGGAGGGATTGCTACCCGTTCCACGTTCATTGACTACTGTATTGGTTTGTAAAAGAAACAATAAAAGGGCATCAAAGAAAAAATGTAATGTCCTGTAAACAATTAGATTTGCCGGCTAAATTTTAAGTCAAATACAGATTTGACTGACAAGACTGTCCTTTTCAGAAGCATTTAAAACCAAAAGGGTCTTCGACATGTATATGGCGATTTTATCAAAATACAAAAATTCACAATCAAAATGAAAAATGTGGCTGAAGGGTTTGTGGTTTCACACCAAGTGCAAAGTACAAATACATGCACCTGTGACTGTAAAAATACTGACAGAACTGGCATTCATTCAGAGCAGATACAACCAGGAGAGGTTTGGTCGTAGAAAGCAGGCTGCCATGGTGTCGGTGGTCTCCATGCCGTGCAGTGAAAACTAAAACATTACATTACATTAAAGGGTCATTTAGCAGACGCTTTTATCCAAAGCGACTTACATTACACTTTATACCCATGGCTTTTTCACATATTTGCCCGGGGAGCAATTAGGGGTGAGGTGTGTTGCTCAGGGACACTTCGACATGGAACATGGGGCAGCCTGGAATCGAACCACCAACCTTGTGCTTCCCAGCACACCTTCTCTAACCCCTGCGCCACGACGACCCCCAAAACAGAACACCTACCGTCGGAGTTACGAGTCCAGGTGACAAAGTGCTTAAGTTGGTGGTCGTACTGAATCACCGTGGTGACCGAGTAGCGACTCTCCTTGAAGGTGAAGGCGTATCTCCTGACATCGTTGTCAGGAAGCCCCTCCACAAAGTGCAGCGCAAACACAGAAGGCACGCTAAACAAAACACAGAGCAGAAGTGTGGTTAACGGCTGGAGAAGTTGTGGGCATTCACGTATAAATTAACGGCATTAACTTCATGCTAAAGCAGGTCCTTTTAATTACTATTATTTTGAGTCTGTGCATTCAGAGCCAGTGCGCAAGATACGGTAAAATCACGGGTCACAATCAGTAAAATCAATTCAGAATCTGGCAGCAAGTGGAGAAATGCCAAGAACTGAAGTAAAGTGGTCTCTGGGGCCAGTTAAGATTCTAGCTGCATTGTGTCGACCAAGCTGCAGATGTGAGACATTGACTGGCAGGCAGAGGGAGTAGCACCAGTCTAAATGAGATGAAAATAAAAGCAGGAATAAAAATCAGCACGAGGCGAAAAATGACACATTTCTGAGGCAATGGAAGTAGGCTCCGTCCGGTCAGGCACACGTTTTTATTTGTACTTGGTTGTTATATTTTGTTTAAAGTCAGGCACGATGTGGCCTAAAACACAGAACAGTGATCCCAGTCACCTCCACGCAGTGAGCCGTGCAGTTTATTAATCAACGTTGGTATTAGATTCATTCTCGGTAGTGGCCAATAGCAGCGGGACTAAAAAAGTCAGACCAGTGTTTCCTTGTTGACACAGTAATCAAATATACCCCATGTGCTTCAGCAAGTACAGTTTAATCATTTCCTATGATTAGATGCAACTAAGACGGTGCTCTGATTCGAAGCAATCGCACCACTTAGATCCAATGGTCTTCAGTTGCTAGATTTGTTTTCCACACACACACGATCTCCTCACCTCTCCAGCACCATGGTCCTCCTCTGGTTCTTCTGGCAGCACACGTTGCACGGAGCCGAGTGGACGGCATTAAGTGGGCTCCAATCAGGAAAAACGTTTGTGAAGGTGGGGAGAGTTTTCAAAACCCTGAAAGCACAGCGTGAAATATATTTAGGATTCATTCGCAAAAGACGACTGTGTGTCAGAGAACAGTGATATGTAAGAGTATGTGTAATAAAACCGCACTCAACACAGTTATACGATTTATCTGATTATTTGGTGGGGTTAACTGTTCTTAAAGATGAAGACGGAGGAGAAACATCTGTACGAGCCGTCCAACAAATCAGGGATGAAACGCTTTTTCCGCAACATTAATTTGTTACAGGTTGTCCAACTTGTTGATTTAATTTCCTTCTATTTTTGTATAATTGTAGTTTCATTGCCCTTGATGTTTTGGAAAGTTATCTAAAACGTCTAGATGACGTCACGTTGGCCTCTGAGATGGAATCAACAAATCAGAAAAAGAATCAAAAAACAAACTAGAAGTGTTTGATGGAAATAAAGGGACGAGAGAACAATCTGGGGCATTTAATCCAGACTGGGCGGACGCATTTCTCTTCATACTTCCCACTGGGACCACTACTAAACAAACCACTGAGTTTAGATTTATTATTTAGCCGAGATTTTTCTGAATTGTGAAATTTTATTTATTTTATTATTTTGAAATGCACCTGATATATATATTTTTTTTGATCAACACAGCACCATCATTTCATACCTTTCCGCCGAGGCAGCTTTGCATTCACTGCACCTGAACATCCAGTGAAAGGTGGACTGGAAGAGAGGCTCCGCCCACGGGTCTGACGCCAGCAGAAGCGGCATGGCGAATACCGGAGTTTCCCTCTGACCTGAAAAGAGGCACCAACGGGGCGCAGTTAAAGCATCGTCACGGTAACGAGTTCTGACAGAAGTGGCTGTTACGCTCTCCACTTCCAGTTAAATTTCCTTCTGTGGGTGAGACCGGGCCGAGTTACAGAGATCACATGTGCGAGCACGCCTCAAATCAAATGGTGTGTATCGCTTGTCGGTATCTTAACTGTGTCGGCATTGTTCACCCCCCCTCCCCTCCGAACTCCCTCAATGTACTTGCCTATTCTGTTGTGTTTTTAGCATGAAGAGACAAAACCAGTAAGCAAGTTGTCCCACATTCATTGAGCCCTACATCCGTAAGGATTTCATGTCCAAACCCGTCACTTTCTGTTTTGACGGTTTGTGTGATCCGTCCCGTTGGCGTGTTCGTCTGTCCATGTCTCATCTCACACGCTCGTGAGTGTGTGTATTAAGAGACTTGTTTTTGTGTTTGAACAAAGTGAGTTTAACGACACCTCGGAGCCCATTGGTGTCTGTGGGTGGATAGGGGCGGGGTTAAGCCAGGTTGTGGGCTGTATTTATTTAAATCAGCAGTGGCCCTTGCAGATACATGATGATGCACTTGAGTGAGTGCACCATTCAGTGAGTGCACCATTCAGTGAGTGCACCATTCAAGTTTTTGCTTTAATCTGCAGGGAATTTAGTCATTATGAAATCTCATATTCATATATGGACGGCTTGAGTTGTCTGGACATTTCTCTTTTTGACAATTAACACATTGTTCCGGAACTAATGTTGGTTTCTTCTACTTCATCTGCTGTTGCCAAATACAGTCAGAATAAATATTTTATTTCCCTGTATGTTCACACTTTGTTCAACTTCTCCAAGCGTATCAGCTTGGTTGAGCTTACCCAGTTTGCAATTCAGCTTGGGCTGCAGTAGTTTGAAGGCTGACATCCTGAGACACCGGAGGTCTGCATCAGCCTTTTCCAGCACATGACGTGGCACCTTCACGGCGCCATCTTAAAACGATACAATACCCATAAATGCATTGCTTTATGTCATGTAAACTAAACAAAAATGTCTTTGCTGCTAATTTACTTGGAGAGCTTTGTAGTCAATGGGACTATTTTACCATTATAAACACACAGTCCCAAAAAAGTGTGGAATAAAAAAATTAATTCCCCACACACTACTTTCACAAGTGTGAATAGCACTCGACTGACAGACTACTACCCCCCCCCCCCCCCCGGCACGCCTAAACAGGTGGAGAGAATACGTAATTCGGCTCTTTAAGTGACATTAGTAGGGTAGTGTCGTCACAAATAACAAACATAAGCTAAGGAGGCACGAGGAAATCCAATAGTTTTAACTCTGTTGTACCACAAAAACTGTTGAAATGACTTCACACTCACAGGCCCGCTGTAGATAATCTGTTTATCTTACCCCCGCCGGTCTGTTGATGCATACGGATGGAAGCACAGATGTCTTCGTATCCTCTCATCAGCTGCCAGACGGATGACTGCTCGGCCTCATCTTTAGGTTTACACTCTATCAAACTCTTACAGTTTACCAGTGCGACCAGCAGCGAGTCCAGCCAACACAAGTTGTCGCTGTTACTCCAAAAGGGCTGATTTGCAACGGACACCAGGTCCTCCGACTTTGACGGCGACGCGGAGGACAAACTCTCCATTGGAACGTCTTCACATTCGGGGACGTCTGCGGTCAGTGTTTTCCATTGCGTCCTTGCGATCCGCCCGTTGTGCAGAGGCATAATTTCCGCTGTATAATTGTGGTCGCTCGTGAAACTGGGCGGATTGGAGCCGAGGCTGCAGCGTTTGCTCGGCCCAAAGTCCTCCTCTGCCTCCGGGGTACCAGGAGCCGCATGCCGAGGAGAGACCACGGGGTCGTCACGATCGCCGATCAATAAGGCTTCAGATGAGCACTGCCGGCGTGCAGCAGAAGTCCAGCATGTACGGGGAGCTAAAGCATCCCCACACGCAGCGTTCGCTGGTTCCTTGACCAGAACATCGTCCTCATGTTGTGGCGACTCTCTGCCGGCTGTCTCTACACCTGCAGAATCCCCGCATCCGTTCGCCTTACTGTCTTCTGTCTTTGGCGCTGCGTGATGGCCATTAAGGACAGCGCCTTCAGCACCGCGCTGGGCTGGGCTGCTCAGCATGTCTGGAACACCTGATCGCAGGCGTTTGTGTGCGGGACTGATCAACTCTTCCGTTTCCAGTGCTGAGCAATTCTTTCTTTTGGTCCCAACAGTGGGCCCCACGGGATCCAAGCAGGCCAAAACATCCTCCAAGGACCGGCTGACCAGGGGGAAAAGGCACTATGTGGGAATCCACACAGAAATATTAGCACAGCAGCAAGAAAGGCGAGAAAAAAAGCCATTACATGTGGCTGTTAAACTGCATGTGTGTGTGTGTGTGTGTGTGTTGGTGGGTCAGCAGTGCTGGGGCTCACCTGTGGGTTCGTGCAGAGGGTGACGGACTCCTGGAGGTTGATGCGGTACGATCGCAGAGCGTAGGTCAAGCCTTTTGAAGTACACCAGGGACAATGCTCCAGTGAAGCAGCTCTTTCCTGAACCTTTTATTTATTTAAAACATAAACAAAAAAAGATACACAATGTAAATTATGACCACATCCCTCTGTAAAAAGTTAGCAAAAGAATTAAAAAAAAAAGACATGAAGCGCTTGACAAAAGCCTCAATTTTCTATTGTCATATATAAAATACTTATATATAATAGAAATCAAAATTTCAGACGGTTCAGACTATTTACCTTGGAGAACAACTTCCAGGATACAACTAAGAGTAGGAACTACTGAAAGGGATTGTCAAATGGTAGTGGTTGCTTCAAGGATGAAATGAACGCTGTATCCATATCAGTCCGTGTCAAGTACACAGTGAGTTTAACCATTTTCCATCAATAAGATAAGATTTCAGTACACAGTTTCTCATAAAAACACATAACACAAATACCCTTACATGCGTTAAATCGACCAAATACTTTCGCCTTTTACTACCAAAGATTTCCGTTTGTGTTTTCTTTTGCATGGTTTGGATTGGTACTGCCGGGTCACAGCAATTTCTTTTTTTCAAATATAATTCAGCTTTGCGCAAGTGACGAGAGTTAGAGGAAAACAAGAGCTCTACTGACTTTTCCCAAATACCCCACCAGTGGCGAGGCCAAAGCCCCCAAACCAGTGTCTTCACCAGTCATTGGCAACCTGTATCTCTTCTGGTCCGCAGCTTTCCAGAACGATTCAAAACATATTACCATGTCACTGCGAGCAGGCTCACCTCCGGAGGACCTGGGGAGAACAACACAGTTACTCGATGTAAGGAAATAGAGATGCACTCGACATTGGAGCAGGGTAATGGGATTATGACAGCGTGGGACTTCCACCAACCCGGGGCTGAAGCCGCGTCCTTCCGCATTCACGTACACAACTAACCTCAACACAAACGTATGTGGACACACGTGGGAACCACCGGGTCGACTGCAGCATGTTATGCCACCTATGGTGAGGCAACACAGGTTTGTGCGTTTAAAAAAAATGAAAATGAAGGAAAAGGGTTGGAATATATGGCTGCGTTTTGAGGTCAACATGTGACCGCGCGGAGTCAAGAGACCGCAACTACAGCAGATACAATTATTTTAAGTGGGAATTCGCGTACGGTGATTAATGGCGTGTTGCTATCAGCTGGCTAATACATTAAGTTGAGGCCATGCTACAATGAAACCGGCCAAACTCTCTCAGACTACATCCACTAACTAACCCGAAACTACAATTCACTGCACTTGGCGGCTAGCATGCTAACACAGTAGCCTAACGCAGTACATTCATTACAGTCGCCGCAGTCTCGTGTTCTGTTCCCACAAAGAAGAGAAAAAAATGCATACATACCGATAGCAAATTTAAATTGCAACTGAGATCATGGTGATGAAAGATGATCTCCATCCACCCAGAACGTTATATGAATGTACATTCCTGCCTGCGGAGTAGGTCCATGTGCATCCCTTTGCCTGTTCGTGTATGAAACGTTCGTTTTCCGCTCGGCAACCGTTGTGCGTCGATGTTAGTCTTCCCCCCCGCCTCTGACAGACAAAGGTTCCGTAAACCCCCACATGGTAGTGCGAGTGTGTTGCAGTAGTATGTGGTGAGATTATTGTTCGTGTTAGGAAGGTACCACCCATGAAGCCGGGACTGATAATCGGTGTGAGTACATGAACAAGGACGTAATAAAAGAAGTAGATCCACGTAATTATATTTACGCATGTGCCTTTAGAAGATAATAAATACAAACATTAATGTCATGTTTCTATGAGGGGCATATGAAATGCTTGTCTAAAAATTATAATTCTAATTTTCAAAATGCTTTATTATTCTTTGTTGTAGCAGCAGTAATAGTCTGGGTAATGGTAATTTAATTAGATCATTTAGATAATGGCATAATTCGGATATTTTAGATATAAGCACGAGATATTTCAATTTTGAATGACCTGCACAAATGTCTCCTTCATCCAGTCTATTTTCTGGCTTTACAGTAACAGGCTGATTTATTCATTTGAGAGATAGAAAGGGTGAGTTGGTTAGTGGGGGTTACATATGTCCCACATTCTGGTTCTGAAACACAGCCCAATTCTCACACCTCTTGCTCCAACCCCCATAGACATTCACAGACGTGCATCAACATCTCCCTCCACCCGGTCCCGCCTCGCTCATGTGCAGTCCTGCTTTAAGCCCCTCCTGTATCTGCTGCTCTCCTGTCCTCTATTTTCCTCTTGATGACAAAATGAATTTGCATATCTTTCCCTGTGAGTTCTCATTAGAATGCATAAACCGGCCGCCTTCCAGCCTCACAAGCAGGCTATAGCTCCTCTGCTGTGGCATCTCCCGATGAAAAAACGACAGAGCCAGGCAGCATCACAGGCAGACATGTGGCTTGAGTCTGTGTTGTGATTGGCATTTGGAATCAGCTCACCCTTCCCTTCCCATTCTTAATTCAAGGATAAGGATAAAACTCTGCGTCGGCCATCTTTCTTTGTTTCTATATTAGCTACTAAGCAGATGCATATTTGTTAGATAACTATTTCCATATCAAGGGCATGTAAAACAATGAATCCATTGAGAAAAATGTGCAGTTATTACCAGCAGAAGGCAGGTGATTATTTTTTGCAAATCAGGGCGATGTTTTGTAATCGTGGACTCCATCACCACCCCCACCAAGTTAAGACAATTATCTGACTTTCAAGGCTTTAATGTCAGATACTTACATTACATCCACTTTGAGTATAATGAAAAAGTAATATACAAAGAGGCCCTTTTACATATGAACTCATCCTCATGGGAAGATGGCGAGTCAAAAGGATTGCCCTTTTATTCTCTAGTTATGTGTGACAAAGATGTTTATCTGTGATTTCTCCCTAAACATCAGTATTCTATAAGTTTAAACAAAAATATGAATTGAAAAAAGCACATGCATATTCTTAGGTTATAACACCTATCTTCAGTAACTCCAGATCACAGCAAGGGCAATGTTTAGGGGTCAGATGTCAACAACGCATTACTGGGACTATTGCTTTCAATAAAATCAGATTTTTGCCCAATAGTGATGCTAAAGCAAGCTTGCAGCATGTGTAGTCTACATCAAATTGCGTTACTGTGTAAAATTAGAATATATGTTATCGATCAGACAAACATGCAAATGAACAATTAGTGACATGACTGAATTGTTTAGATGGTTTCAGCGTGTTGTTGAATTCATATCAGATACATAAGAGAGGGAAAGGGTGTAAAAACTGAAACCTTATAGGGTAAGGATATAGAAAAGCTCTCACATATAAACCATTTAAGAGGAAAGATTGAGATTGTTCTTTGGTAAAATTACATTTAGTAATATGGTCCAACGCAACACAATTTCAAACAAATCTTTGAACTGCTTTTAAAGCCCTGGTCTGTTTTTATTATGTGCAATGGCATCACATTAGAATATCCCTTTTATCTTTTTCCTTTGTAAGTACTTGGTAATTTAGAGTTTTCCCCATTTAACTGCACAGAACAATGTATCATGGGCTAGGAGCCAAAAGGCCCTAATGAGGCGATCATCAAGACCTGTTATATCTACTGGATATGCAATTAGTACATTTAAATGTAATGCTAAACATACCAGAAAGCTTTATTTAACCCTAACCTTAACAAAATAAAATAAAAATTCTGCAGAACTAAATGATTTTCAAATATGTTCTTTCTAACAATAAATTAGTTTGGTGGCTTTTTGATCTCCATTATTATGTTCGAATTGTGGATCAGCACACTTTCATATTTAATCAGCTATTGCAAATGAAGCCAAAAAAATAAGGACAAAAACTCATTGCGCTGTGAAAAAACGCAGTGCAATTCAATGCCTGTTAATATATTTGTATATTAGCCTAATAGGGACTGCAGACATTTATGCAAACATCTTGACTAGCATAGAGAGGCGCCAGCTAATTGTGTATACCTGTCAGAGAGACAACAAAAAACACAGTGTGCTAAAATAAGCGTTGTGACACATTTGTGAAATAAAAATCGGGGTGCAATCAAAAGGTAAACTATTAAACATATTGCCACTGTGTTTTAATTCTAACTTATACCCTCTAAAACGTGCAATATAGTGTGTAAATGTGCCCTACCGCATGAGCAAAGGTGTCTATTACCTTTAAAACGCGAAAACACGACTTACACATTATGCCTTTTTTAAGTAATAAATTACAAATAAGCACACGCGCGTTGGGGAGAATGTCCAATGGAGCTTGCTGATGAAGACGCGGACAGTCCACCCGAATACGAGCGCACACCATCGTACAGCCGACCCGTTGCCTGATCACAAGCGCTCCGCATTGTCTCCGTTTAACTTGCCTACTGTACGCCGGGCTCAACGCAGTGAATTGAACACTATGGCAAACACACTACACTACTACCAGCTCCAGCATGCTGGGGCACGAATATTTTTTGTATCTACGCGCTTCAGAAAACATTGGTGACGTTTCACAAAAGGCAGCCAATGGGTGCTCGTCTTCTATTAGGACAATGAAAACCCTCCATCCAATGGGAGGAGCTCCGGGCCGGGCGATGGCCAATGGCGCGAGAGCTCCACCGAGAGTAATGTTAGAGAGCTGGAGACTGAAGACACTGCGTATCGCCCGTGTTTCCTCACTCACAGCCATTGCAGAGCATTGAGATCCAGCCATAGTCCGTCGGTAAGTATCACACACGGAAATATTAAGTGTTCGTGATGATGATAATGACGGTAACATGTCGAAATATCGTACTCGCGTGGTTGCTATGATTGAATAAGAAGCCTCTCGTATCTCGAAAATGATTTTTATCGCTGTGAAAGGTGAAAAAAACAACATGACAATAACCGGCGCAAAGCAGGTAGCGTTACGTTACCCTGCCTGTGAGTGTGGAGCAGACGCTCTATAGAAAAAAAGGACGAAAATAATATTAACCTTGAGCGAAAATCGACAAAAATGTTCAATTTCGTTGAATACAAATAATTCTGTATATTACTGCCGTGTCGTTTTTATAAAGTGGAATAAAAGCAAACGGTGGATTTCGCGTAAATATTGAGAAATGTCAAGCGGACAACACGGCTGAACGACAATGGTAGAAGCCTCCGCTCGCTAGCCGTTGCAGTGCTTTGCGAAGATGAACGCCTGTCATGTGAAGACTGGGGAAGCTTGCGGGTTTTTTTTTATTTTTAACCAAACATAAAAAAAATACAAAAACATCATAAAAAGAAAGGACGCCTGGAAACACACGCAACCATGTGCCTGTTTGCAAAAATTATGTCGAGGAAGACGGCGAAAAAAATTCCCTCACGATCTGCGCTTTACTGTAATGGCTGACTGTATTCGCATCGGAGGCGAGTGGTGAAAAGCTAGCGACGAGAGGCGCAGTTCGCTTCAACTTTTTCCAACCGGGTTTTCTCGCGAAACAAACCGGCAACTATAAAATGTAACGACGGCAAAAGAAAGTTCCAGCTTCCGTCTGTCCAACGGCACCGCCGCGGGATTTTTCCGAGGCTTCCGAGGCGTTCTGGCGTGGGGTCGAAGCGGAGTGGGGTCGCTCTGCCCTCTATCGCATGCAGTGACACAAAGAGAAGGAGCCATATTCTCCATGTTAGTGGATGAAGACGAGCGGCCATTAGGAGCTCATAGAAAACCAAGGCAGCGGCAGCGCAGCACCGCTCATAGACACAGAGCACACCCAATGTATTGCTATACAAACCGGCCAGCGCAATAGGAATCAATCGGGGGAAATATTTTGTCAAGATCGCCGGCTTTCCCGACGTATCTGTCGCGTTGCAAAGCGAACCGGAGGGCGGGAGGAGACATTTGAGGGGGACTTTCTTTCATGAAGAAGGCATTCTCACAAAATGGAAGAAGAAATATTGCCGTCGTTGTTGACCTCCTTTTTCACAACGAAAGCCTATGCGCCATTACTACTTCAGCTTAGCTGGGAGTTACAGTAGCGTTTGATGGGGGGGAAATATATGCGAACATTTTTAGCAGTTTTAGACAAAATGACAGAATTATTTCCAGAATAAGATGAGATGAAGACTGAAGAGAAGATTGAAGAATGACATTTTTTAGCAGTTTAAAGTATTGTATTTCCAATAAATACGCATTTTTGTGAATTTTGTGTGTTTTTTGTGTCAAAGTTGTACTGTTTCATAAAACACAAATATGAATGGAAACAGTTTCCAGAATGTCTGTTGTTATTGCAGATTATATTTGACGGTATATTTATATATACATACATATATTTAGGGAAACTAGTGCGGTCCCACGGAGGTTTGTCGTGTTATGCATTCGCACATGGGGAACTTTTGCAGTTTGGTGTAAAAGGTGATCGCGAAAATATATTTTTTAAAGTGTTTATTATTATTATTATTTTTATTTTTTATTTTTTTATCTTTAATCTGTCGCAATGTGTTTCAGCGAGTTTAACCCCAGCGACACTTCGGTTTTTCTGCAAACAGCTCAGATTTCTATCGATGCATTTAAAGTCGTTCTGGTCGCGTTTTCCGGGT